AACGTTCGTTGTGCTTTGTGATTATCTCCGTGAGAGTTTCTTTTATTAATTTCTGCAGCCCCACTAGACTGTCAGCTCCAAGAGGCTAGAAAGTGTCCATTTTTCTCACTGCCAGATCCCTAGATCACAGGTTAGTGCCTGGCACAGAAACCAGGTGGTTTCTGAATGAATGATTGAGTGAGTGGGAGGCAAGAAGGTGGAGCCAATGAATTTAGATGATTCCAGAAGATTGTGATCACAAACAGTAATGGCAATCCATGGAAGGGGCCAGGGTTTCTCACTAATTTTTTGAGCTGGCATATCCTTAAGCATGTCTCAGTGCTGGTGGGAAGCAGCCAGGAGAGAGGGAGCTCGCCAGAAGGAGTGAGAGTCATGAGGCTGTGGGAGGGGGTGGGTCTTCGGGCAGGAGCCAAAAGAATTCTCAGGCAGAAGGAGAGACACCTCTTCCGCGGTTTGGGAATGAGAGCTGAGAATTCATGTATGTTTGTAGATCTGGAACCAGCAAGTCCTACCAAGACCTTTCCGTGAATCTTGGTCACGTAAGCAGGAAATCTGGATGCTCCGAGAAGCTCAGCACGCTTGGTGGACATCATTTCATTCACTTTGCCACCCAAGAGAAAGGGAATCATACGTTTTCTTCATCATTGACTGTACTGACGCACTAAAGAGCAAAATAACAAGTTTCCAAAGCAACTCAGTAACAGAGCGGAGACAAGCTGATCTCAGTGTTCCCTTACTGAGCATGCTTCCTCCCCCACTTGGGAAACAGGATGGTAAAGGAAAAAATATCTATATGGTAAAATAATAATGGTTGCGTGCTGGACACGAGTCTAGTATTCCATCTGCCATAACTTGTTTGATCATTGCATTATGATATCATGTTACAGGTGAGGAAAGTGAATCCCAGGGAGGTTAAATAACTTGCCCAAGATCAACAGCTAGTAGGTGGTAAGACTAGGTTTTGAACCCCAAGAGTCTGACTCCAAAATGGATGCATTGAACCACTCTGGTTTCCCCCCTCCCCAGGAAAAACAGGTTAGGAATCAGAAGACCTGGTGTTTCTATCATGAACTAACTCTCTGAACTTGGGCATTCAGTTAGGTATCTGGACATCAGTTTGCGCATCAATACAATGATAAGAAGAATGTTTACCTTACGAGGCTTTTAAAGGATTATAGAATGTATGGTGGGGCCTCCCTGGTGGCGCAAGAGGTTAAGCACCACACTGTGAAGCAATCCGCAGCCTCTGCAGCACAAGTTCGATCCCCGGCCGGCCAGGGAACAACACACATGGCGTAGCAGACCTCTCCTGTCTCCCCTCTGCTCCCCACAGCAGTGTATTTCAGTCGATCTGCCTGTTCTGTCCCCCAATATGTCTCTGGTGAATCCTCTCACACCCCCGCATCTCTGGCCTGTAACCCCAGTTCTTGTATGCATAAATAAATAAATCTTTAAAAAAAAAAAGAATGTATTGCGCTCATCATGATCATGATCGTGATGGTCATGATCGCAGGCTGCGGAGGAGACCCCGAGTCCCCACAGTAGCACAGGAGCAGCAGGTGGGAAGTCCTGGCTCCTCTGCGGCATCAGCTGATTCTGCCCCATCAGCTTTAACATCCCTGACCAAGGCTCCCTGTGGCTGGGAGCAGTTGCGGCCTATGTCCTCCTCTTTGATTCCCCAGCCAGAAGGAGTGACTGTTTATTTTAAAAATACATAATAAATAGCCTGAATGACAGCTCCTGGGAGGGACAGCCCAGCAGGCCAATTTCCAGGCTGCTGGTGGAATCACTGTTCCAGTTTAGAGACAGAATCAGACCATCAGGGCTAGAAGAGAACTTCAAGGTCATCTTCCAGTGCGGCTCCCTGACCCCCTCCCAACCCATTTTACAGACTAGGAAAACTGAGGTCAGGTAGGTGGGATGATACTCGTTACGAGTGGCAGCACTGGGTTCTTTTTTAACCTTGAAAATGTCTTCAAGTGGGTTTAAATAAATGATATCAACTCACCAAAATCGTATCTGAGAAGTACTTGAATACTTGTGTCAGTATGCATACCTGTTCAGAACGGGGTGAAATTCCAAAATCCCACTGCCACCTACAACTAAAACTGCAAGGCAATAATCCGTGGGAAACCCATTCTTCCGCGGCTCTTACTTGGCCCCGTGAGACGTTCCCCCCGTGAAAGGGGAACGTGCCCAGCTCCTCAGGGGCACGGTAACCTGATGGGGAAGCTCAAACTGCGCTTCCCCAGCCCCAGTCTGTGCTTCCCAGTCGGCGGAGCTGAGTTTCCTGGCCTGGGAGAAGAGTGTCCCCCTCTGAGGCGCCGAGTAGGTGTGGAGGTCACCGGAGAGGATAAGCCTTTGGCACCTGCCTGGCGCGCTGTCACTTTGCTGTTATCTGCCCTTTCCTCTCCAAGCAGAGCGCCCTTCCCCTTGGCTGGGAACTTAGACCTTAGACCACTCAGACACGAGGGAACCCCGCAGAAGCCCAGCTGCGCGGGGCCTGGAGCGGCCCGTCCCTCCCCCGCCCCCCCAGGCGGTGAGTAGGCTGGATTCCGCTTGATAAATGAGAGGCGCTGAGAAGGCGCTGCGAGCAGCTGAGCACCGTTCCCGGAGCCGCCGCGGCGAGAAGGCGACCCTCCGCCCCGCGAGCATGGAGCCGCTCTGGGGCCGCGCGCCGGCCCGCCTGCCCGGAGGAGGACGGGAGGGCGAGCGGCTGGACGAAAGAAAGGCTTAAGGGGAGATGGACCGGGGGCGTCCAAAGAGCAGCGTCTGAAAAGGAAACAGGCCGAACCTCGGGAAACCTCCCGGGCGGTGAGTGCCCTCGGGGCGCACGGCGCGCCCCGCGGACGCGGCTCCGGCCGGGGCGCGGCGGCGGTCAAGGTGCGGCCCCAGCAGCGGAGACCCGAGGCCGCACCCGACAGGCCGGGGCGCGGCGGGGGGCCCCGGTCGCCCGCGGGGGGCCCGGGGTCGGCGGGACCGGAAGGCGCAGTCGCGGGGCGCCCGCCCGCAAGGGCCGGGGCGGGGGTCGGGGGCGGCCGCGGAGCCGCCGGCGCGGGCCCCGGGGGAGGTCGGCGACCCCGGGCGTGGGAGCGGCGGGGAGCCCGGAGCGGGGCCGCGGTTGCCATGGCGCCGCGCGGGGAGGGGGCGACTCGGGCCCCGCCCCGGCCCCGCGGGGCGGCGGGCTCCAGATGGTCCCGGGCCTCCCGCGGGAGCCGGCGGCCTGCGGCAGGGGAGGCCATTGTCCTCCTTCCGCGGCGCCGCAGTCCCGCCGCTCGCGCCCGCGCGCCGCCACGCGCCCCGCCGCCGCCGGCCCCGCGCGCCCCCCGCGCCGCTCGCGCCCGGTGACAGCGCCCGCCGCCGCCCGCCGAGCGCCCGGCGGCCGCCGCAACCGCCCCTCGCGGCCGGCTGGGCGCGGCGACGACCGGTGCGCCCCGCCCCGCGCCCTGCCCGCCCGGCCGGCGCTCCGCGCCCAGGTAGGTGCCGGCCCCGGGCCGCTTTGTCCCGGCCGGCGGGGCGGCGCGCTTTGTGCAGCCGCGCGCGGGCGGGGGGCGGGCGGGTCGCGCCGGCCGGCGGGGCCGGGCGCGGCGGCGGGGCCTCCCCGGGCCGGGCGGAGAGTCCGGGGGAGTTGCGCGGACGGTCGCGCCCGCCTCGGGCCGGCGGGGCTCGCCGCGTGGGTGACAGCGCCGGCCGGACGCGCCGCAGGGGCGGCCCGGGGACCGGCCGGCGCCGGGCCAGGCGCTGCGGACCCGCTCGGCGCCTCGCCGGCGTCTGCGAGCCGGGCTGGCGGGGGGCGCCCTGCGGAGCCCCCCTGGGGGCGAACTCCGCGCCCGCCCTCGGGCCCCCGCACCGGTGCGAGAGCGCGAGCGGGGGGCCGGGCCGCCCCGACACCCGCCGCGGGAGGACGGAGCCCCTCGCCGGCCGCGGCGCGCGGGGGAGGGTGTCCGGGGCCGGGACCTCCGGAGGGTTTGGGGGGCTCGGCGGCGCACGGAGCTCCCGGCCAGGCCTATCGCTGGGCGTTCGACTGGAGCGCCGCGCTCGGCTTCTCCCCTCCGCTCTGGCTCGGAACTACCCCCACGGCGCCGCCTGCGCCCGGAGATGCAGGCTCGCCCCTGTCCTAACCTGCCGCGCGTCTCCGTGGGCTGCGGCCCGGCTGCCCTCCGCCCCTCGCGGGCGAGCTGCCACCATTCCAGCGCGGCAGAGCTGGCCCCTTCAGGCATGGGCAGGGTCCCCTTAAACCAGTTCTCCTTGAAGGTGAAGTGGGCAGAGAGAGCTCCGCATAGGTTTTAGCAACCTCTTGGCATATTCAGAAGAGCAAAGGATTTGGGAGGAAAAGGGCGAACACAGATCTTGGATTTGGCCCTTGGAGAAACTGATGTGACTCCTCTGTGACGACTGGGTGTGGGGACGCGAAGGGCCGAGCACGGGGGTGAAAATTAGTCTGAATGATTCTGCCCCGGGTGCAGGACCCTGAAGGAGAGGTTCAAGCAAACATCCACCCACTCTGCCGCCCAGTGCCTCCATTCCTGGGTGGGCAGACAGCACCGTCTTTTATCAGACACACGGCCTTGGGGGAAGGAGCTGGGGTTTTGTTTCTCCTACCAATTCTCTGCCCTGGATGCGTCTTTCTTTTGCCTTCCTGGGAGCTGAGTTTATTGTCATTTCTGTCCCCTCCATCTCTCCGCCAGCCCACTCATACCCTGAGTCCAATAAGATTTTCACTTTGCCAAAGTCCCCATGTCTTCTAATCTATTATTCATCCAGCTGTCAGTGGTTCCGCTCTGCCTCCCGCCCTCCATCCGAGCATCTGTGCGTGCCTGTGCCGGCCAGGGGCCCGGCCTGTCTCTCTCTAGAGCCCGCTCCATCCTCGTTCTCCTACCTCAGCACCAGACACTTATAGCTCTTTGTAGGTCTCGGGGCTTCTGAAGGGAAGTTATATTCGAGTTTAGCATAGGAAAGGGCCCGTGGGGACCCAGAAGCTAACCTCAGGTCACACTCACCCCTGAAACTTGCGTCTTCTCTGCCGTCGCTCCTCTAACCGATTCCCGCTGCTCCGCGTCTTTGGACATCCTCCAAGCGTGGTCCCCAGACCGGAAGCTTTAGCACCACCTGCAAATAGATTAGAAATTCAAATTCCCGGTCCCCACTCCAGATCAACCTAATCAGAAAACCTGGGGGCAGGGCTTATAATGACCCATGTTTTACTCTCCCTCCAAGGTCACTCAATTCATGCGAGCTTGAGAATCCCTGGTCCTGAGCTGTGGATTGCAGCCCTCGGCGTGCCCTAACCGGGGAGCAGAGCCTCTTCCCCTAACCCATTTCCAGGAGCTTTTCTCTAGCCCTAAGAAAGACACTCATTCAGTGGCAAAAGAAAAAGAAAAAAAAAAAAAGACTATGGTCTCTTCATTCAGTAACTCTTTATTGAACCTATTGCACGGGCTTGGAAAACACAAACACAAGTAAAACACGGCCCTGTCCTCCACGGGTTAAAAGCAGAGCCGGCAGAGACACATAAACAACCGACTCTAATACAATGTGATAAGTGCAGTAATAGCTGCTCCCTGCATGCTGTGGGGGCACAGCGGAGGGAGAGACAGCTCCGAGGGAGGTAAAGAATTAATCAGGAGCAGGATGTGGTGAGGGAGGAATTAGGATACAAGGCAGGCTCGGTTGGGGTTGGCAGGGATAGAATTTCTAGCTTTACACGTGGGCTACAGGGCGGAAGGGAGGGGGGCGGCGGCAGCCCTCCAGGATGGACCCTGGGCTGAGCAGGCTGCACCCAGCAGCGCTTGGCATGGAACTGAGCAGGACCCGTGCTTGTGGCTGGCAGGAGTTGGCTTTATGCCAGTATGAACTATAGAAGCTACCTGGACCTGGCCTCGAGGTCAGTGGCTAAGAATAAGGTGCTGGTCAAACTGTCATCTGGAGTAGCTGCCGTAGTGCCCTACTCACGAGGCCACAGGGTTCGCGGAGCCACTGAGGGGTGTCGGGCTGACAGTTCTCCAGCCTAGAGACAGGGGTTCTTGGGGATGGCGGGGACTGGGGGGCCTGAGAGAATGTGGGTGTGGAGAACCAGATTATAGGGGAGGAATGAGACACTTCGTGATAAGAAACCAGAGCGGGCTGTAGGCAAAGAAACTCACATAGAGAACTGCAGAGCCTGGAGGTGGTGACAGAAGACAGAGCACATCGTCCACCAGGCCAGGGGGCCGCGGAGCCCACTTGCTAAACACCGAAACTCAGAGGCGCAGAGATAAGGCCTCAGAACCACCGTGCGAGCTCTGCTCACATGCAAGATCATGGGAAGACACCCTGGGGCCCCGGGGGATCTGCAATCTAAGGACTTCAGTGCCCTCTTACTCCTTATCTCTGCGGCCCCGTCTCTGGAGACTCAGGACACAAATCACGTAACCTCGAGTTAGGCTTGGCCAGAGGAGCATTAAGCAGCTACATTTCTGTTTGGGAGGAGACTCCAGCTCCCCACTTTCTCCCCAAAGGTGTCGGGTTCTGCAGAGTTTCTAACAGCTGGACCTCCCTGGGAGGTCAGGATCCCGTGCTGGGGGACCCCACGGAATCCTCGGGGTGGATGGGCAGGAGGAAGTCACACCCACACATGTGTAGGTTTCATGCGGTTCACAGGGGCCCCAGGGACAGTCGTCGGGACCCAGGGTCAGACCGTCTGCTCTGATAAGTTTCTGCTCTTCGTCGACTACAGAGACAGGAAAGCAGAGCTGGGAAACCTCGGGAACATCCAGGGGGCAGGCAAACAGTAGTAGGCAACCTGGCTGGGAAGGGAAGCCCCGGGGCACTGGAGGAACCCACTCTGTTCCTTTTCAACAGCTTGCTGACCCCACGGAACACTCCTGGGGGCTGGCGGTAGGGGGCAGTGACTCCTGCCCCCTTTTCCAGCGGGGAAAGGGTGGTGGAGGCAAGGATGGGGGGCACGGGCAGCTCCAGCAGGGAGTCTGAGCACTGGACGTGGGCCTCCGGGAACGCGGCCTGAGCATGACAGCCGTGGGAATCCCTGATCTGCAGGGCCGGTGACAGGGGCTGGGGACCCCGCCTGCTCCCCTGTGCAGAGGCTGAGTATTAGGCGACTCGTTCAGGTCAAACCTTGTCCCCAGCGCTCTTTGCTCAGGGTGACTCAACCGTGCCCTAGAATTTATTTTTATATAAATATTTACAGAGCAAATTCAAAGACTGTTGGGATTTAGGGGGAATGATGAATTTTGAAGAAGAAAGGATCCTATGCTTGGTGAAATCAGGCTCTTTTCTGTTACAGGGAACGAGAAGCTCAGGCTAGAACCTCAGACCTTAGCTCCCTCGCACCCCTCAAGCACAACTCCCGTGGCAATCCTGGGAGCCTTTTCTCTTCAGGAGAAAGAGGAGGGGCTGACTGTGCTGACCTCCACATGGGTCGCGCTTCACGGAGCCAGTTAACGACCAGAGCAAGTTGAGCCTTTGTGTGTCCACGGGACACACCTGCCTCCCGTCCACAGCTCACCCCCTTCCCCTTCCTCCTTCCCAGAGGCACACGGAGGTTCTCCACACCTCCAGAACCAGACAGGGCGCCATCAAGCCCTGACCCTAGGAGGGGGTGCTCAGGGTTAGCGTGTCTTTGTGTTGGAGAGGCCCTGGGGAAAGGGGAGGTGCACAATTTGAAGTTCTGATGAACTCACAGGCCCAGCCCCCTCTGTTGATTGCCAAATTACATGAGAACTTTGGACTGCTGAGGTCGTGTGTGTGTGTGTGTGTGTGTGTGTGTGTCTCATCCCTAGCAGCTAACCTGAAGCTCCTCTGCTAGTTCTGAGAAAGGCAGCCTCTGCATGACTTAGAGCTGTGAGTAGGGCGGGCAGCCTGGCCCAGGAAGGGCGTGAAGGGTGCTCCTCTCCCAGGTGCTCCGAGGGACTCCAAGAAGCTGGAGGAACATGTAAATGTTGTGACTAAGACACTGTTCCATGGAGTCTGCAGGAACCTGACTTTAACACCCAGTTCTGCTCCTTCCACTGCCATGGTTTTGGGGTGACTTAACCCCCACCATGCCCCTTCCTCATCTATGAAATGAGGGTGGCGATGGATTCTCGGCCCCGGGGGATGTGACAAGGTGTGCGTGTAAAGGACGGGACACATCACAGCGGACACATACGCCGCACCGCTCAACTCCTCCTGTAGCCAACAGGGAGAGAGCCGCCCTTGCCCTCCCCGAACGCCCGAGCTCACCATCCAGACTTGCCTGCGCCGGCCACAGCCTTCCTGGCGCATCACAGATGCATCCTAGCTTGAGAGTCGGAGCTGAGTCCATCTCAAATCGCCTCCAAGCTATAGGATGCCACCTTGCCTGGCGTAGGGCCGGAGGCCCGTGTGTGGAACTGGGAATGAAAGAACTGGTTTCTACTCATTGTTGGCCCCAGCGCTCCAGGCTGGCTTCCTGCCTTACCCTGGTTTATACACTGCCGTTCTGAACCACGCTGGAGCCCATTCCACTCGCAGCCCCAGCTCTGCCCACCGTCCCTCTCTGCCCCGAGACCCTGGACGCCTTCCTGTCCTCTCTGTCATCTTGTGATGCTGCCACCTTTCTGCTGCCCTTCTGCTTCCCCACCGTGGTTTCCCCTCCCCTGGGGGCTGACTTCCATTGCCAAAAAAAGACCCACCACACGTTATCCATAGGGGACTGGAGCTGATCTAGAATAGGAGGGCCTGGGGTGGAGGCGTGGTGGCCCCGAGGTGCCCCGAGGTGCCCCTCACAGCCACGTTCTCCCTGGCAGGAGCAGGCAGCCACCCACCACCATGAGCAGCACCCTGTCGCCCACGGACTTCGACAGCTTGGAGATCCAGGGCCAGTACAGCGACATCAACAACCGCTGGGACCTGCCTGACTCGGACTGGGACAATGACAGCAGCTCCGCCCGCCTCTTCGAGAGATCTCGCATTAAGGCCCTGGCAGGTGAGATCAGGGGAGGCCCAGGTGATGCGGGGCACTGGGGACAGGAGCTTAGCATGCAGGATCCTGTGACTTCACGGCAAGACCAATGCTCTTTCTAAGCCGGATCCCCTGACCAAGCCCCCGGCCCCCAACTCCATCCTCAACCTCAGCCACAAATGTCCTGCAATCCAGAACACCCCCGCCTCCTGCTCCCCAAGCACAGCGAAGCCGAGCTACCCTGGACTCACTCTGTCCCTCTGACTCACTTCCCAGCCTCGCCCCTCAGTCCTGCTCCCCAATTCTTGTACTGTTCCGTCTCCCCTTACTTTTGACCTCCCCTTACTTTTGACCCCCCTTCCTAGTCCTTAATCTCCACTGTCCTCTCTCTTACCTGTTCTCCCTCCCAGTCCATTATCCCCTGCACCCCCACACCTGTGCCTTCCACCTGCCTGCTCCTCCCGTCCTGTCATCTACCTGTGCCCGCAGCAGGTTTTCTCCGCCCCCCGCTGGTTTCCGCAGCCAGCCATTCCTGAGGTTTGCTCTCCACCTGTCTGCCTGGCCCCTGCCCTCCCCTACGGCCCCAGGCTCACCCCATCAGCAGCTCTGAGTACAAACAAACCCGTCGGACGGCCTCCCAGCGTGCTGGGGAGGGGTTACCATGGCAACAAGAGAATGGCTGCCACCTGACACCACCAGCGGCTGGCGTGGGGCTGAGTCACCCACTCACCCCAAGGCCACCCACCCAGCTTGGCTTCCCTCCTCCATCTCACCCTCGTCTTTTCCACTGACCTGCCCACCTCCCAGCCCAGTGCAGAAGGAGAGACCACAGCACTCTCTCCTAGGGGCAGTGCCCCTGCCAAGGGCAGAGTGGCACCGGGAGAAGGGCCACACTGAGGGAACTGGCTCCCAAAGCTGGACTCACTTTTTACAGGATCACCCAGGGGCGTTTTTAGAAATACAGGTTCCCAAGCACCATCCTGGACACACTGACTTAGTCTTGGGCTGTATGGTTTTGAAGTCAGGACTTTTGAAAAATTTTCCAGGAAATTCTTTCCAGCCAGCCTGGTAGCAGTGTGAGGACAACAGCTTGAGGAGCCCCGTTGTGGCCCTCGTTTCTGGGAGTCCCTTATCACTTCTTCCTGGACCTCTCTGTCCTGGTCGGGTCCTCAGCGTGGCTGGTGACACACTCCCATCAGACAGGAACAGATGTGAGTTATGGAGTTTCCCTCACACCCTGATTCGGGGTGCGTGCAGCCGCTAGAACTGTCAGGATGTCTTCACATGCACCACGTGTGCCCCCTGGACGGCACACAGGTCGCCTGCTCTCCCGCCTGGATCGGGCTCTGGGGAAGAGGTCTGTCCATAGGGGCCTCACAGGGGCGGGGCCTGTCGTGCTGTATGCACGAAACTGGGAGGGGCTGAGCAGGCTGTAAGTGACACAGGGAGCTGGGAAGGGAACCGCAGCCCAGCGGGATTGCATGGGGGGCCTGGTGGGTCCGGTGGCAGGCAAGGAGCCGGCAGGGAAGGTGATCGGGACAAGCAGGAGGAAAACTCTTCTTCCACAGATAAGGAAACACCCAGCAGTGCTGGCCGGAGGGCTGAGCTGGCCTCCAGGCTTCCAACCTTCCTCTTTCTGTGCTCTCTGAGCTGGGGATCAAAGCATGTCCTGAGGGGGACCTCCCCGGCCACTTGTCTGCACACCTGCAGACCTCTGGAAACTGGAGCTGGCTGTGGGCGCCCCCTCTTTCTGTGGCTCTGCTGGACGCTTAGGTGGCTGGGGCCTGATGGGCAGGTCTCTAAGGCACTGGAGGTTCCCTCCTCCGCCCCCGGGGTCTGGCCCTGCCCCAGCCGGCCGCTCCGCCTCCCGCCCCTCCCCCGGCTCCGTCAGACCTGTTTGTCTGGAGCTGCTGGGTCTCCTCTCGCACAGCCAGGTGTGCCAGGCTGACTTGTCCCGGCGTTCACACATCCTGAAACTCCTTGTCCCACTCCTTGAAACTTCTACTATCCTTGAACCTCCCCCCTCACCCTACGGGGGACCCCGGCCTCTCGGGATCCCAGGCTCCAGGGGAGCAGAACTTTGCCGCCCAGCCCGCGTGCACGGGCAGAGCATGGACGCTGGGCCCCGGGCCGTGTAGGCGGCAGCAGGCAGCATGAATGGGAACGGCGTGAGCAGGGGGCATGGGCCCGGCCTGAACGGGGCTGGCGAGTTTTACTATGAGGCGGTGGAGGGGCCCCAGAGCCCCGGGGGCCTCCTGCTCTCCCCAGCTGCCTTCATCAACCCCGCTCAGCACGCCAGCGTGCTGGAAGGACGCTTCAAACAGCTTCAAGGTGAGCCGGGGAGGTGGGGGGTAGAAGGGGCCTGGGGGCGCGGGAGCGGAGCAGGGCACAGCCCAGGCCTGGGACATCCTCTAACTCCGATGGCTGGGCCGGGAGACAGTGGACGGGGGAGTAATTACGAGTGGCCAGGAAATACTTGGATGGGGGAATCTGGGGCCTGCCGGTAGGGACTACAGGGGGCCCGGTGCCCGTGCCAGCCTGGTACCCCCCTGGGTGCAGAGACCTGTGTGGTACCCACCCAAAGGTCAGGACCGCAAGCGCTGAGGCCCCAAAAAGCGGAGTCCGGTGTCAGTGGATGGGGGTGCTGTCCCGCCAAGGCAGTCCCATTTGGGTGGGTTTGGAGGGGAAGCGCCCGCCGGGATGGTTGGGGAGGAGAAGAGGCGAGTAAGCCAGGAGGCTGAGGGTCCTGGGGCGTCAGTGATGCCCCAGGTTCCCACGCGAGTATAAGTGTGCGAGGCAGTGTGTGTGGAAACCAGAGTGTGGCAGAGTGAGCTGGAGCGGACAGCTGGGGGTCTGAGCTGGCGTGTGTTTTTCCGCACACCGGTGTCCCCGGGTATTTCTGGGAGCCGCTGGTTTTCGGGGGGAGGGGGTAGATGTTATCGATGCTTTGTGACCCTAGACCCCGTTGTGGTCCCGGCTGTGCACATTTTCCTCCTGACGGCTGTTCTTCCCACATCTTCCCCATGTGTTCCCCTTGTGTGCCAATATGGCCTCGCCCTGTGTGCCCAGCATCAGGGGGGCCCCCCTGGGTCCATCTGGGGCCGATGCTCCGGGCCGTCCTGAGGCGGGCAGGCCGACGGACCTGACTAGGGGACCGCAGGCACCCTGGCTGCTTCCACAAGTGCTGCATAGCATCGGGCCGCCCCTGCCCTGGTAGAACGCGGGCTTGGCCCAGGCTCAGGGCTGGGGTAAGAAAGACAGGACCAGACATGGGCGTGCCGCTGAGTTTTATGGGTGAGGTGCGTAGGAATGTGAGATTAAGGGGTGAGTCCTTTTAGTTTTTGAGATGCGGGCGCTGAGATAGAAACAGAGGTGACTCTTCCGGATGGGTCCTCTCACAGGCTCCTCCGTGGGGAACTGGCAGAAACCAGTGCCTGGAGCAGCTTCTTAAGCCCAAGCCACCTCCCCAGCCCAGTCCTGAGAACGTTGCGAGAGTCTAGTTCTCCCTGGAGCCTGACAGCATCCCGTCAGCCGCAGCTCCCCCTGGGGACCAGCCAGGAGGACTTGGTTTCTTGGCTTCTTTTTGGAGATCGGCCCCTACCTCTGAGGGGCTTGTTCCCCACTCCGCCAACCCTGTTTCTTGGGCTCTCCGTTGGCCCTGCTCCCAACTTCCCAGGTCTTGTTTTCCTTCCCAGCGTTGGAATGCTGCTGAGCTGGGGCTGGATCCCCTTGTAGCCAATCAAATGACCTCGCCCCAGAAGTAGCGTTGCCCGCCTTTCCTCTAAACCACCCCAGGAGAGCAAGCTGGCCCACGAGGCCTGCAGCCTCTGTAATGTCACGTCCTGCTAATGACCACTTGGAAGAGCCGCTGCTGTAATTGCTGTCCACACCCTGTCCTTTGTGTGCCACCCTCCCTCCCGTGGGTCCCGAGCCACGCAGTTAGATCGCACCCGTCCTAACAGGAACCCTCGGGAGCCGTCCCGGGCAGGCTCCTACGCACTCTGTTAATCAGCGCAGTAACCCACTGAAGGCGAAAGTAACGCGTCCAGTTTACAGATGAGGGAAGCGAGCCTCGGAGGGAGGCGGCCCCAGCATTACTCACATTGTTACATGGCAGAGGCCCGGTCCTGGCCCCAGCGCCTCCTGCGTGCCCCCTGCTGCTGGTTTCTCTCACGCGCTCTTCCCGAAGCCTGCTTTCTGCCTCTCATCTTTGGCCTTTACCTTGCTGCTTCCCCAGCTTTTTGAATTAGGGGTTTTTCTCCAGCCTGTCTTCCGGGCCCCTCCCCATTCCAGCCTGGCCTCCTGGCCTCTCAGCGTCCCCACCCCCACACCTCCCACGGGCGCACCCACTGGCGTTTAGAAGCAGGTGCCAGGTGCGCGCAGGGCAGACACGACCCCCTGTTACTGCCACAGATGAGCGAGAAGCCGTGCAGAAGAAAACCTTCACCAAGTGGGTGAACTCTCACCTGGCCCGTGTGACGTGCCGGGTGGGAGACCTGTACAGCGACCTCCGGGATGGACGAAACCTCCTGAGACTCCTCGAGGTGCTCTCGGGAGAGACACTGGTGAGCTGGGCCCTGGGCAGGAGGAGCCCGAGCAGCCCCATCCAGGGACCACCGTGGGTGGGGCCAGCCCTGCTTCGGGGGCGGCTTCATTTGAGCAGCTTTGCTGCGTGGATTAAATAGGAGCGCTGCTTCGTGGCAACAGGAACAGTGGCGCCATTGAACACATTTCCTTTCCCACCCACGCTGGGTGCACGTAATTCCCTTGGGAATCTTAATCTGCCCCAAGCCTATCCTCAGCCTTAGCTTTGCCTCCATGAATTGGGGCCCAGCCCCGCCGGCCCTGTGCTCCCAGGCAGGGCCTGGGGGAGGTGTGAGAAGCAGGGTTCTGGGAGGGCTCGGAGGGGAGGAGTTGGCCCACGGTCCCACGCCCTGGCCTCCGCTGTCCCTCCCCAGCCAAAACCGACCAAAGGCCGCATGCGGATCCACTGCCTGGAGAACGTGGACAAGGCGCTGCAGTTCCTGAAGGAGCAAAAAGTGCACTTGGAAAATATGGGCTCCCATGACATTGTGGACGGAAACCACCGCCTGACGCTCGGGCTGGTCTGGACCATCATCCTGCGGTTCCAGGTACCCAGTACCCAGTTAGCCAACACGCCGGTGCTGCTCTGGACAAAGATCGAGGCTCTGGGACCTTGGGGAGTAACTCACAGTTGCTGTGATACCAGGCCCCAGATGGGCACTGTCCTCAAACAGAGCAGAGGTGGGGCAGGGCTGCCCGCCTGCAGTGGCACGCTCCCTGGGACTGGCCTGTGTGCTGGTCAAGGGCAACAGGACCCCATGTGGGCCCTGAGGGAACTAGGGGTTTTACAGACCAGTCCCTCCTACAAAGAGTTTGAGAACTGCCTTTGGGGTCTTGTCGGCAGCCCCCTCCTCTGCCTCGATTCTGCTGGACTCCCTCAAAAGAACAGCCACCTTCTTACACCCTGAGCACAGCCAGGCCCGTGTCCCAACGCCACAAGAGCTCTCCCCACCCCCCAACACCAGCTCCCCTCAGCCCTGAGCCAGCTCTGTCAGCTTCAACTTTGAAACTCGATGCTCAGAAAAAAACATGTGCTTGCGGCGCTGCTGCTCC